AAAGGAATTCCTATCTCTCGGGGTTACGGGAGGCAGAGGCAGGTTGATAATTCCAGTTGGCTGAGTTGTTGGAGCAAATTCTTCTTTGTTGTTGGAAGTTTAACCAGGGGTATTTTTAGGCGTAAGAGAGATAGATGGGTGGTAAGAATGTCACCTATTCTACACATTCACTCCTCACGTGTCACATAACCGACACAGATTTTTTCCGCTCTATTCCCGTTGCACTTATTCTCTTTTTCTGAATTTATTATAATACGTTTTCGTTCGTGTGCTTTACCGGTGTCGTTTTTATACCTTTATCTCTCGACAAGATTCCATTTTACAGGTCACTTTGTTCTCTGTTTCCTCTCACCTTTGTTGTTGATGTTTGTCAGGTGTGGATGCGTGAGTGATGTGTTACTGCCTGTATCTCACACTATCTACAGTATGTAAAGCGAAAGACATTATGGCCACGACTTTAGTATCTTATCCCGATTTTTTTAAGCACTGTACCACAATGCTAATATTCCTATAACACATCTCTAATGATACACACCCACTGACTGAGACTATGCACTCACTATCTCAAGCAATTTTCAATTTTCACATTACCCAAAATTATTCAGAGTTTCTCGACAATAATAAATCTGGGGCGATCGACCACCCATCTGGTACCGAAACCACGACACCGCCCAACCATGATGGAACACCACTTTATACCCTCTTATGGCCTCATCCACATTATTTATCGTCTATTATCCCTAGTGCGAGAGCCAATATCTTGTTTACATACATGTTACTTGAAATGCCACTAACAGGCCCCATGCTAACCAATCACAAGCACGCGGACCCAGATTAATCAACCAAAATGCGCGGAAAATCCAACTCCTCTTAATCCGTGTTGAACCAGCAGACTTATTAATGAAGAGACACACACCCCAACTCACCAGCCACCAACACTATAATCATCTTACTAGACGACAGACAGTTGGGAAGAATAACATCAAGTTGTAAGGTGAAATATACGGTATATCCTCCTCACACTGACACGGTACGCCACTAAATATTTACCAAACATTGAGGCTGTGTTTGCCGCCATGCAGAGACTTGTCTGTCAGAACATTTTGCTCAAACTCAAACATTTACCCAAACCTCTCCTCTACATAGTGGTTAAGTGTAAACAATCTGACATTAATCACCAAGATGTATGGCAACTCGACCCAGTTAGGTATGTGTGTGTGTGTTGAGGGTCAGGATGTGGTGGATGTCTCTCTTTTTTGTCTGTCTGTTAATACCTCCATCTGTTTCATGAACCTATTCTATATCTGCTTTTATTCTTTCTTCTTTTCTTCCTCAACTCACTCAAACGTTGTCTTCGAAATTACTAAGCACACTAGACCGTCCTGGAATCAAAGAAAAAACAATAGCGAAATCTTATGCTGTTGGAACCTAACCTAACCTAACCTAGAGTATAACCTAGCCGTATAGGCATCTCTCAAGAGTCTCTATAGTTCTGTTGTGGCTGTGACGTAAGTAGTCTTAATTGAATATTGAGTGTCCTGTTTTTTTTTCCTAGCTGGTTATGTTATCGCGGCCATTTCCCCAAGGTCGTAAAAATGCTCATTGGTCTTAATGTTTTGCCAACTGTGTACTGCTGCTTGGTGACTGGAGTGATGGTATGTTTTATTATGATAAAACCCTTTGATGACTATAGTTTAAACCTTTGAGGAAGGTAATTTAACCCCTTGAGGACTATGGTTTAAACCTTTGAAGACAATGGTTTAACTCTTTGAGGACGATGGTTTAAACCTTTGAGGGTTAAAAACGAAACTCAATGGAGAACTCATTGTCTCCCACTGTCGAAACATCAGTACGTATGGTGGAAAAATTATCTTCATTTTAATACTGTTCATTTCAATATCTTGTTTACGAAATAAGTTTTATTCGATAAGCTCAAGCACCTTCAGATCTCATTCGTGATATCCTTTAAGGAGGACCTGTAATGGACTGACCTATTGTGTTCTAATAACTTACCATATTAACCCGATCATCGAAACTGCTCAGGCTGTTTGAATAGTATTAATAGGTGGAGGACTGTTTAGGTGAGTAATACTGTACGTCTTGTAGGTGGCAGTGTGCAGGGGTTACTGTACTGCTGTATGGGTGAACGGTGACAGATATACAACACGTAATGAATGGATGGTGAGGGTAGGAGATATCAAATGGCTTGAAATAGATGGTGCCAACAGAGAGCGAGTGGCGTGGGTGGGGGATGAACAGTTGATGATAGATGATGTAGAGACATGTTACTAGTATAAATCAATATGAAATAACCCAGAAGATAAATGTCACTAATACACAGTGAGAGGCAGAAGGTGCAGCTCATGGGTGGTGGGTAAATGTGGGCAGTGGGTGAGTGTGAGGCAGGGGGGGGGGGCAACTGTTTAGGGTCTGGATAGGTGTGGGACAGCAGGTGTGTGGGTGGGTGGGTGTGGGGGATAGTTGGGTGTGGGACAGCAGGTGTGTGGGTGGGTGGGTAAGGTATAGCAACTGGGTGGAAGGGTGTGAAGGAGCAGGTGGGTGGGTGTGAGACTGTAAATTAGTGGTGGTTGAAGAGTGTCAGTAAGAGAGGATAGGCAGTAGTGTGTGTGTGTGTGTGTGTGTGTGTGTGAGACCACTGGTTTCAATAAGAGAACACGTCTCCAAACTCCTGTAATGCTTCTCAAACTATCCACTTGCTGTTTCATGGAGAATCCTCACTCTACTCTCACATTCTTGGCTGACTAGTGCCCTCAAGTTTATATTAAGAATTAAATGATAAAATGACGCCGCAACAAGTGCTTTCCTTGAGTGCTGGAATGTGTAACTAACCAACACCCTACAGAAATAAAGCCACGCCTCCATTGAGCTAAATCTCAGTACAAAGGTCGTTTTTACTGCTCCACTCTTCTCTCTCTCCCTAGGAAAAGAAATATCTCCGTCTTTCCCTCTCCCTCATTCACCACCAAGGAGAAAAGGGACAAGGTCCACCCATCATCAGCCGTGCGGGACCAAGATAATGACGCTCACACATATCCTTCTGAGTCAAATTTGCAGGATCTAAGAGAGGAGAGAAAATAGGATTACTCACCTACATCCCCCGTTAGGTTGATTCGTCTCTTGACAATGTTCGTCCGGTACAACCTTATTTTCACGTTGACTTTAACACTCTCTTGCCGCCGTTTCCATTATGTCACGTGTATTGAATTTTTTACGTGTTATCGAGCCATTGCTTTCAAAAGTTATTTGGCTAGATTGTGTCTTGTGAAGAGAGAGAGAGAGAGAGAGAGAGAGAGAGAGAGAGAGAGAGAGATATGTTCACTACAACACTAGCACCACATTTTCATTGCAACATTAGTACTACATGTTCACTACAATACCAGAGGCGGATCCAGAAGGGGGTCCTGGGGGTCCATATCACCTCGTTTTATCAGAAAATTCCAATACTACTTTTTTCTTTAATGCAGTATTGTACTCAAACGTTTTTCTATTGTAAAAAGTAATTACTATTGACCGCAGAATATCTCCGAATATCAAGTACACAAGGCTTCAAAATGCCCAAAATATTGGTCAGCTGGTTGTGCTCGCCATGTTCCCCCAACCATAACTTCTTGGACCCCCCCCTCCCCTACAACACGAGCACCACATGTTCACCACAACACGAGCACCACATGTTCACCACAACACGAGCACCACATGTTCACCACAACACGAGCACCACATGTTCACCACAACACGAGCACCACATGTTCACCACAACACGAGCACCACATGTTCACTACAACACGAGCACCACATGTTCACTACAACACGAGCACCACATGTTCACTACAACACGAGCACCACATGTTCACTACAACACGAGCACCACATGTTCACTACAACACGAGCACCACATGTTACAACACAGCACCACATGTTCACCACAACACGAGCACCACATGTTCACTACAACACGAGCACCACATGTTCACTACAACACGAGCACCACATGTTCACTACAACACGAGCACCACATGTTCACCACAACACGAGCACCACATGTTCACTACAACACGAGCACCACATGTTCACTACAACACGAGCACCACATGTTCACTACAACACGAGCACCACATGTTCACTACAACACGAGCACCACATGTTCACTACAACACGAGCACCACATGTTCACTACAACACGAGCACCACATGTTCACCACAACACGAGCACCACATGTTCACTACAACACGAGCACCACATGTTCACTACAACACTAGTACTACATGTTCACTACAACACCTATCACTACATATTCACAACAACACTAGTAGTACTACATGTTCACTACAACACCAATACTACATGCTCACTACAGCACTAGTACACCTCAACACTCGTACCTCTTACTACATTTATTTTGGTTATAAATCTTGAACCGTGTTCGTCCGGTAATGCACCAGGCAGTTCATGATAAAGTTAACATGTTTGACCTTCAACTTCCAACATCGCATTCACTACAGTAGTGTAATATACCATTGGCACTAGCTCTGTTTGGGCCAAGTGGGCAAACCAAAGGAGTAAATGGTGAGGATGAGGTTCATGAAAATTTTATATACCCTCCGGGGTCTTTTCGGTAAAAGTTTTTTTCGTATGATGTAGAATATAAGCAGAAGGTGTCATTTAAGAAATTTATGGCTGAGAAGATACAATTTACAGGTGTTTTTCCAGATATTGTTTTCAGAAATGAACTAACAGACGCTTATAAAAAATGGTGCGAAGAATATGGCTTAGAGTATTTTGACGATAATGTCAGCATAGGAATGCATTTTGGTTACTCTAAGATTGAACCAAAGAGACTCGGGAAACGTTATAATCAAAAGTACGGCTATGTTGGTCTAAAATGGATAGACCCTGAAGGATTTACGATATACAGACCAATAAAGAAGAGACCTTTGGATTGCAATATAACGTCTGGTAATGAAAGTGATAAATTATCCTCCTAAAAGATGAGTTCACCTCCAAAACCAAATAAGAAGATTAAATATAACGATAAAAACCTTAATACCAAAAATTCTTCCTGTTCTGAAGACAAAATTGAGACTCTGCTGCCAGGTGGGCCTACGCTGGTAGATGAGTCTGTGCTGCCAGGTGAGCCTCTGTTGCCAGGTGTGCCGATGCTGGTACAAGAGTCTGTGCTGCCAGGTGGGCCTACGCCGGTAGATGAGTCTGTGCTGCCAGGTGAGCCTCTGTTGCCAAGTATGCCGATGCTGGTACAAGAGTCTGTGCTGCCAGGTGAGCCCTTGCTGCTAAATGAGTCTGTGCTGCCAGGTGAGCCTCTGTTGCCAAGTATGCCGATGCCGGTACAAGAGTCTGTGCTGTCAGGTGAGCCCTTGCTGCTAAATGAGTCTGTGCTGCCAGGTGAGCCTCTGTTGCCAAGTATGCCGATGCTGGTACAAGAGTCTGTGCTGTCAGGTGAGCCCTTGCTGCTAAATGAGTCTGTGCTGCCAGGTGAGCCTCTGTTGCCAAGTATGCCGATGCTGGTACAAGAGTCTGTGCTGCCAGGTGAGCCTCTGTTACCAAGTATGCCGATGCTGGTACAAGAGTCTGTGCTGCCAGGTGAGCCTCTGTTGCCAAGTATGCCGATGCTGGTACAAGAGTCTGTGCTGCCAGGTGAGCCTCTGTTGCCAAGTATGCCGATGCTGGTACAAGAGTCTGTGCTGTCAGGTGAGCCCCTGCTGCTAGATGAGTCTGTGCGGCCAGGTGAGCCAGAGTTGCCACGTGACCCTGGGCTGCTAGATGAGTCTGTGCGGCCAGGTGAGCCAGAGTTGCCACGTGACCCTGGGCTGCTAGACGAGTATGGGAAGCCACTTGGGCTCCCAGCATACTGGGCGTAATTGTTAGATTTTTGATTCTCTCTCAATGGCGGTGTCGCCATGCGACCATAAGTAAAATACAGCCTTGTCCTGTATTGAGATTTAATATATTTAACTGCAGACAGCATTGAGTATATCAAGTTACGTAACTATCTCCTTCTTCTGTTACTTGTAGGTTATGTATATAAGCTACTGTGCCGAGTAGCAACCCTGTACATAAGCTACTGTGCCCAGTAGCATTTATATATATTATCACGTGGCACCACTGCACGTGTTATGTGGCACATTGCCCCGAGGCTGCCATATGGCAAGGCGCCTCAGTCTGACTGTGTGAGCCGTGCATGGCACACAGCGTCACCACTTGTATTTCTCTCATCCACAATAAACGAACTCAGTGTTACTCAGTGTTTCCCTAGCCATCACTGCATTCTTCAGGGCACACTAGTAACCTTCATTACTCACTCGTCTTTCATTACTTCAAGGAATCGTTTTACGGCTATTCTTCGTAGGGGTTGCAGGTACGGTCTAATAAAACTGAGGTTACATTCCCAGCCACAGCCAAAATCCTACTTTTATGATTTTCTTTGAGTGTCTACTTTTTACTTGTTGTCTACAATATAATGTTAGCTCTGTACTGTACAGGGAAGAGATCTTTATTGTACTCTAGCATGGCTCCTGGTTGGTGATGATGCCAAGACAGTCAGCTCCCAGGGCATATGATCGGTTACTGCTTAGACCAGAAATAGTCACCAATATAAGTGCAGTCTGCTCTAATGTTTACTGTGTAGCTACAGCAAGGAATTTGTTATTTCTAATCCAAAACAATTTTATAATTGCCATCTCGTGGCATCTTTTGACTAATGTAGCCACTTTGTTTGCATTGACTGAACTTCTGCTGTGAACTCATAATTGCCAGTTGTATTAATGTTCATCATATTTTAATTTACTCAGGGTAAAAATCTCAATAACATGTGTTTTATATCTACCATAATTATACTTGTGAATGGTGTCAGACTCTGGTGAGAAGGAGTCAAAGGCTTTGTCAGAGATTCAGCCCACAGTATACTTGCCCAACCAGCTGTGACAGAATTACAGAAATTTATTGAAGATCTCACTTCTGCACCAGGTCTGAAAGATCTATAAACATTAATCAAAACTCATGCCGGCAACACCGCTGTATGAAAAAGCCTTCAGCCTCATGAATGAGATTTGTATAAATCGTTGCTCATCTCTCACTGTCTGATGTTCATCACTGTAAATGGCCCACCGTTGCATCTCTGGAACACCCGGGCCATATATCAGAGAGTGGCTGAAGCATCACAGGCCTACAACTAATAATCAGTCAAAAATGTACAAAATTCCCAAAGATTCTCATAATGAAGGTAGAGCAGTTTGGGCACTGCTTTAGATCTGTGTGTAAAATTAGATAGTATTAGAATATTGTTTCGTTATTTATTCTTTAGACTTGTGGGAGAAAAGTCACTGTATTAGATATTGGAATTTTGTATGACTAGGCATTGCTTTAGACTTATGCAAGATCTACAGTTTGTAAGCATTGGTAATACAGATTTCAATAAATGAGTTTTTTATGAAACGTACTATTGTAATTGTATTAAGTCCCTTCACCCTTCTTTTGTTGGCTAGTGGTCAGAGCAGCGAATATGCAAGAAAAGATACCATTACTGCACTGCACGGTGGATTTATTCTGGGTAGAAACTCTAGTGTGACAGCAGCTTAAGCACATTGTTTACTGCTGTCCGAATGTGCATTTGATTCTCTCTCTGTTTGTTTCTCTCTATCTGTCTCTGTTGTCTATCTTTTCCCCATGAGACAGAGAGAGAATTGACAGCCCTATGACACTAAAGATCCAGTCATTCCCTCACCTTCTGTTTGGACTTAATACTTAAGAGTTCACACAATGCTTCACCTCTCCTAGCAGCGCTCCCTTTGTACTTTATCGTGTTAAATTGGTAGAATATAAGCCTCGTACAGTATATTGTTATATAAGAAGAGTATTTCCTATATTTATTCGTTGAAAGTCCTTCTCGTTGGGCTGAGTGGTAGTCTCTATATAGTGGCCTACAGAACATATAGATGAAGCCCCATAACTTATATATAAAACACTGGTCCAATTTATAAAAAACAGGTAATATTAGCCAATACAGTACTTAATCCCATAGTTTTAATCTTAAGGTTCCCCAGATAACCAAAACCAAAATAATACCAATTTTGTTTGGAATGTTTACTTTATACTATGAAATTTGTTGTATGGGCAGCTAATATCCATTGAATTAGTTAATGTGCTTAGTAATATTTATAAAATCAAAATAGTATTACTGTGTTGCACTGCAAAGCACAATTAATTATCTAATAATATTTATTCACAGAGCCGATCAGCCAAGGTTGGACAACTACAGCTGCTGTCTTCCGTTCATGGGAAGCTCGCCCCAACCAGTGACGTCACAACCAATCACTGAGCTTTTCACAGTCATGTGACTTTTTAGCAACTTTAGCCTTTATTTGTTTACATTTTTTGGCCCAATTTATTTTAAAATATCATGACCAAAGTAAATTTAAGCATTTTCTTTACCCATTGACCTGCCATCTTACGAAAAAATTCCGACTGTCAACTCGTCCAGTGTTGCCAAGTGGAAGACCGGGGGCATAGGAAGAGTATGGGAAATGAGAAAAGGATGAGGAGGAAGCAAATCACGAGGAGGAAGAAGAATAAGAGGAGGAGGAGGAACAAGAGGAAGAAGAAAACGAGGAGGAGGAAGAACAAGAGGAGGAAGGAGAACAAGGGGAGGGATAAAGAGGCTAGGAGGGAAGACTAAGGACAGAAGGGGAAAAGGTTAACAATTATCTTTTTAGCTCAACCAGTGCTTTTAACTTTGTGCGGGGCATCCACCAAACTCTTTTTGGCTCCATTGATGTTTTAAATGTTATGGGGGAGAGTAGCCTCTTTCTGTATGGCTCTGCTGATGTTCCTGGGGTTGTGGGGAAGAGTAGCCTCTTTCTGTATGGCTCTGCTGATGTTTTCAGTGTTGTGGGTGAGAGTAGCCTCTTTCTTTTTGGCTCTGCTGATGTTCCTGGGGTTGTGGGGAAGAGTAGCCTCTTCTGTATGGCTCTGCTGGTGTTCCTGGGGTTGGGGGAGAGTAGCCTCTTTCTGTATGGCTCTGCTGGTGTTCCTGGGGTTGGGGAGAGTAGCCTCTTCTTTTTGGCTCTGCTGATGTTCCTGGGGTTGTGGGGAAGAGTAGCCTCTTTCTGTATGGCCTGCTGGTGTTCCTGGGGTTGGGGGACCTCTTTCTGTATGGCTCTGCTGGTGTTCCTGGGGTTGGGGAGAGTAGCCTCTTTCTGTATGGCTCTGCTGGTGTTCCTGGGGTTGGGGGGAGAGTAGCCTCTTTCTGTATGGCTCTGCTGATGTTCCTGGGGTTGTGGGGAAGAGTAGCCTCTTTCTGTATGGCTCTGCTGATGTTTTCAGTGTTGTGGGTGAGAGTAGCCTCTTTCTTTTTGGCTCTGCTGATGTTTCCAATGTTGTCGGGGATAGTAGCCTCCTTATGGGCTTAGACAACCCTTTAAAATTCGTGGGGAACCGTATAATTTATATTTTTGTACCACTTGACGTTTCTGACTCTTTAGCGAGAGATATTCTGAAACCTGTTTTGCTATTCTGATATGGTGACATATCCTGACATCGTTAGATACCGTCTTGTAGAAGCTGTATCAATTTTTCATTTGTAGGTCTCTTTGCAGGGTTTCTGTTTTGGGACATACTCAACCATTATTGTATTAAAGGATGGACAGGGATGCTTCTACCACGCAAAATTTTGAGCCACATTTAACCAGCACTGAACATCTCGCTGGCTTCTGAACACTCACGTGTCGCTCGTACCTCTGGAGCATACCAGCTGTATCTGAAGGAGATTTGGTGCTTGAAACTTTTATCCCCAAGCAGTCGGCATATCCCAAAGTCAATTATTGTGACTTGTTGATTTCGGATATTCACACAGACATTATCTGTTTTTATATCACAGTGGGCATAACCCATTGTCAGCATACCCTGGAGAGTCTCGTGTACTTATAGCATGATGTCATATAGAAATTATTCTTCAATATCATACGTTTAGAAGAATTTTGAAAGAGTTTGTCCTGCATTTTCACTGAAAATCATTTACTTTTCAGAGCACACACCAAAACAGCGCTACACGCCCCGGACACATTAAAATCGGCTCAACATATTCGCTTCCGAGTTGAAGGCACTCCTGCTATATTTGCCAGCAATATGCTTAGCGACCAAATCTCTCATGTATGGTTTCCTGAGTAGCTAACATTGACCATATGTTCCTTTTCCTAGGTTTGTTATTTCAGCCCCATCATAGAGATCGTTAACAATTTGACTGTTTAAATTGAGAACATTATCGTTCAACTTTTATGTCTCTCTTAAAAGTGCCATTTTTTTGTTGGTTGTGATCAAACACACTGAACTCAGTACAGAATGAGTGTCTTACAGTCTCTCTTTATATACAGGATACATCATTATCAGTGACAGCTTAGAACACTTCCCTCATGATGTTGGTGTGGTGACAGTAGTAGTGTTAGGTAAAGGTGCCCTTCTAGCATAAACTAAACTCCCAGGTTTGTTTTTAAGGGTCAGTTCATAGACTATATCCGTGACTATACTATCGTCTACACTACATCTACTGCACTATCATCTACACTACATCTACTGTACTATCATCTACACTACATCTACTGCACTATTATCTACACTACATCTACTGCACTATCATCTACACTACATCTACTGCACTATCATCTACACTACATCTACTGCACTATCATCTACACTACATCTACTGTACTATCATCTACACTACATCTACTGCACTATCATCTACACTACATCAACTGCACTATCATCTACACTACATCTACTGTACTATCATCTACACTACATCTACTGTACTATCATCTACACTACATCTACTGTACTATCATCTACACTACGTCTACTGCACTATCATCTACACTACGTCTACTGCACTATCATCTACACTACGTC